ATTCTAGGGAAAAGTAAAGGCTTGACAGGAAAGATAGCTTAAAATAAATGTTAGTTAAAATAAACATAAACTCTACAACCTGAAACACAAAACTCTGAGACTTGGCTAAGAAATTTGAACGCAGTAGTAGAGTGTATTGTAAATCAACACACAAAAACATTAAAATAAAGTTTGTTCTCACCGCTCCTCCCAAGCGCCGAAGTATTTTGAAAGTGAATGACTCAGTTATTTGGTATGGTGAACATATGCAATGGATTTAAATTTGATTGATCATTCGTTAGGCACCATAGGACACAAACCTGTATCATTGCAGCCACCACCTAGTGTTGTGCAAGACATAGAACATTAGAAACGTAACTGAGAATGAATGCGTTTTATTATAGTAATAAATTGTTTTTCTTGTAGTGATCTGGATCTTTGAGCATTTAATATGTAATGATTTCCTTTCTTCGCCGCAATTGTTACAGAAAATTAGTATTTCAAAGAAACTTGCTGTTTAAATTCAGGTTATTATCAAAACCTTGCAAGATCGTTACATCGACATTCGATGCTTATGTTCGTAAGACAGAATGGAAATTTTGAAAATAAGAGAGCTGATACCCTAGCAAAGTTAGCCACGAAATGCCACATTGATTTAAATCTCCGTGTTCCTGTTTCTTACTGGAAGCGCTTTAATAGAAATGATGCTATCTGTATTTGGAACAGAGAATGCCTGGCTTCATCAAAAGCACAATGGACCAAAAACATTTTTCCTACAATTTTTCACAGGATAAAAGTTATCTAGTGTTCAACAGATTTTAAAGTTACTTAATTTTTGACTGGACATGGAAATTTTAAGAGCTATATGCAAATTCTTCTTCAGTGCGTTCATTATGTCCAACAGATGAACATATATTTTCCTTCAAGCAATGTTGATGCGCCTGTCTGTATCGTGGCCACCAATTATTTCTGAACTTTCTTTTTAATTATTTTAAAAAGGCGTTAAAGAAAAACCGCCCTTTGGGCGTAATTTAAAATCTGAAAGCTTTTAGATTTTTTCCTTTTGCTTATTTCTTTTATATTTTTTAGCCGAAATGGCTGTTACCCAAAAGGACTATTAATCTCGAAACGCCATTTTGCTTCGAATTACTATAAACGGCTGCATCACTTTTCAGATTCTTGCTGACGAATATTATCGCCCTAATCTGATGTGTACACCACATGACATCCTTGTACGGAATATTAAATTATACGCATTTTTTTCTTGAATTACATTTAAATGGATTGGATTGAATTAAATCTACTTCGTCGACAGCGCATAAACCCACAATAGATAAATGCACTATTTAGAATTCATATATTTGTTTACTATAACGACCTCTGATGCACAAAATTTATATCATTTGAAGAATTATCGTTGCACATGTTCTATTCAAAACTATAATAAAGCTAAAACGATGTATGAAAGAAATTAAGCAAAAAACAGAAAAGAAAAAGTTTTTCACCGACCTCATTTAGTATTCTCATCAATAATTCAGTTCTCACTTCGCGACAAGGCAAAAATACATAAAAACTCAAAATATCTGCATTAAAAATTACGATGTAAATCTGAAACACTTATTTCCTCGAAAAATTCCAGAAAGAATTAAGCCTGATTTAATTCGCATAATAAATGAAGGCGTTATTTTTGTGTGCGAAGCTTAGTCTCTCTAGATGGCAATAATCTACAGTTTGCTGTTTCAAATGTAAACAAACATGTTCTGCCATGTATTTAAACGTAACCGCACTTAAACAGCTTTTAATTGTTGATAATTGTACAATATTGCTTCCAGAATTACGAAGGTGATAAAAACCGTAACCGGAAGATAAAAACAACATAAGTCATTATTATTAAAGCAAAAAATGTACAATTTACAAACATATAAGAATAACGAAACTGAGATCACTGAGCCGGTAATAGAGTGGATATTATATAAATACATTTATATACGTTGGGCGGCCGATGCAACAAAGATGCGAGGTCACAACTACATGTTTATAGCAGTCCTATGTAAAAATTTCAACGTTCTGGGCTACTCGTTTGAGTTATGCGAGATACGTACTACGTCGTACAGACGCCACGAAAAATTCTCTTCAGAATTAATTTTAAAGCAGTTTTATAATTTTTTTTGCAGAAATCGAGTCTTTTATTCTGTTCTTACGTACAGATATCACACAAAAACGTCGTTAAATTGCATTCGGTAGCGGTCAAAATGGATATTTTAGTTGAAATATGTTGCCTAACACTTTTTGCGATTACAATACTTCCTTTTAACTTCGTACAAGGAAGTAAAAATGCAAGATTCTGGATGAATGTATGTATGTTTCTCGCACTTGGAAGCCTAGCGATATCCATTTTTGAATGACATAGTCCTCCACCTAAACATGAGCACCTGGAAGCCCAAACTTCGAATTTGTTTTATTATCTATTTCGTATTTTTTAAACCTTAACGAATTTTTGATTAAGAAATTCAGCGATTTCAAAGCATTTTTCTGACAGCACTGCGCAGAATAAGATATTCTTATATCCAGCGCAAGACTGTTTATCGGTAAATCTAAAAATACACTGTTTTTAAATAATTTTAGCCCAAATACTCTCGAAACGTGCATATATGTGTTAATGAAAAAGACACCGCTTTAGGCGTAATATGGAATCTGAAAGCTTGGAGATTTTACGTTTTTTTATTATTTTTATTTGTTTGCTTTTTAATAATTTTTCTGCATTTCCAGTGCTTTTGTACATTTGTTTATTTATTTTGTTAGTGCTATTAAGCTACTCGTGGTATACTTTGTGGAACACGAGGAGTTAAAAATTAAAGTTAACAAAAAGGAAAAAGAATCTCGTTTACGCTTGCAGAATAGAATCAGGATACGTAATTTAAATTTAAAATAATAAATTGTTGGCAAATAACTTTTTTCGAGCGCTTTACAGCTTTTAAATTTCTTTTTACCTAACATTTTTAAAAAATGAATAAATTACCTTCGCATTTCTATCTTCATTTAGAATATTTTACGGCTTTCTTCTTCAACTTGGATTTACTATTCTCGAGTAGGAGAAATTTGAGAATAATAAACATATTTCATTTTAATACATTGTAAATCCTTCTCATTTGGAAAAATATGTATTAAAAATTTTAATTTGAAATGTATTTTTAATCATATTTAATATTTTTGTTGTTTTAAGTGCTTCAAACCAATTACATTAAAAATTCTGAGTTTTACGATTTTGCAAAGCATTTGTTCATTGGATTTTTCACACGTTTAACTTTTATTCATATTTAACTCCGCTATGCTCATCTTAATCTCTACATATAATAAAAGAAAGAGTCTGTCTGTGTGTGTGTCTTTCGTTCGCGCTGCGCGTAAGCTAATAGACCCACGGCGACGAAATTTGGTACATAGGTTCATCTAGGCAAAAGCCAGTGCACCTCGAAGCGATTTTTTCGAAATTCGAATTCGAATTTTTTTATTTTATGTTTTGTGACGAAATCGCGTCATTTTGAGACATAATGGGCTATAGGAAAGCGAGATTTTCATCTACACACTCCATTTTCATATCGTCATGGAACGTAGGCACTTAGCTATTTTACGAACTTAAAATAAATTTCGCTTTTCAAAAAAATCGATTAAATACGAATTTATTTAACAAAGGCAGCTTAACACCTTTTCAACGGGATTTTTTCTAAAAATGCTATTTTTAAAATGTACAGTTCTTTTTTTTTTTTTTCATTTTTGGACACGTTAAACTCATCCTTGCGACTGCTTTTACAAAACGAATTTTGGGAAATGATAATATTTTGTATTTTTAAAATATTTTTAAATGAAGCTTCCGAGTACACTTCCTAACATCTCACTTCTTAAAATGTGATTTTGGCAAGAATTTTCCTTTCTATGTGTTGTTGATAGATTTTTGATGAAATAGCATCATTTTGAATAGTTTCATTCCTTTTAGAAATAGGGTTTGGCAACAATTTTTCATTTATGTTTAAGAGATTGGCATATTTCATTGTCATTTTTATACATAATATTAATACATTTTATTGATTTTTTGATAAAATTGTTCTGCAGAGTAAAATTTTGCGCGGAATTTTGTTTTTTGAGTTGCTTTCATGTTTTTTTGCTTATTTCACTGTTTTCTAATATTGAAAAGTTTTGCATGATTTTTTTCTTCAACGGAAAGTTGGTTAATTTTTTTATTAGGATAATTAATATTTGTATTAAGGGATATAGCTTATTTCATTGTAATTTTTCTCTTGAAAATATAAGATAAATATCATTAATTATACTTTGCTTTTCAGAATTTTTGCTTTTTGTATCCTTTTATGTTATTATTGCTCATTTTACTGGTAAGATACTGAAAAGTTTTGAGTGATTTTTTTAGGAACAAAGCTCTTAACCACCTTTATAACATTGAGTTCTTAAAATTTTGCAAAGGGAAGTGGTTAATTTATTTACTAGCATAATTAATATTGTATTAAAGGATATTGCTTATTTCATTGTAATTGTGTACACGTAATATTTGGTTTTTTTTTGTTTTTTTTTTTTTAAATTGTTCTGTGGAGTAAAATTCTACGCAGGTTTTTAATTAACGGGTTCCCTTTAGAGAATGGGACATTTAAAAGCCAGTTTTAAAATAAAGACGTCATTTTTACTATATAAGCGATTTTTTACGTATATCAATTCGAATTCTTCTTCAGATAAAATTTTAGGCAACATGTTTATTCATGTAAAAAATGGCTTCTTTGTCTTCATTAGCAGCTACCAAACATTTCATCAGACACGCGCCGTCACTTGGGATGGAGAGCTCACTTAATCTCCATTAAAGACCACGATTCTCATTCTTTTAGAATGTTCCGCAATAATTGATAAGCTTCTGTTAACTTTAAAGTCCCTGCATCCGACGCGAGAGCCATTTGGTGACGTCTAGGAAATTTGGCGATCGCCAAAGTGCTCTCGTTCAACTCCGCCGGCAACAGTTTCAATCAACAAGTGGCAGTATCGAATGAAAGCGTAGCGGGAAAAGATTAACCTGCCATCTGTCTTACTTGCTGGATATTTTTGCAGGATTACCAAAAGCGAAAAAGGCAAGAAAGATTCTGAAAAGTTAATCCTTCGTAAGTGGAATTATTATGCTTAGCCTTTTTTTTTTTTATTTCTCTAAAAAACATTCTTTTCGGTAAAAATGCATCTGGTATTATAAGGCTTTATTGTTAAGAATTTCTTTATAATGGAACTTTGCATATCATATTCCTGAAAGGTTTTATAGCGGTTAATTATTTATTCTACGAAAACTCGAATAGCAGAATTAAGAGTAATTTTGCTTTGAAAGTAAGTTGTTTAAAAAGGGGATATATTATTAAATAACATAAATATTTATGTAAATATTTTATGTTAGAAAGTTCGTGAGTTTAGTTTTCTGATTTTTCGCGTCAACATTACGTCATGTTGCATTAACTTTTCTCATAGCTTCTCAAATCGCCGATTATGAAGACTGTTGCCATCCCCTATTTACAAGACCTTTATTTTTCAAATTATCGAAGTATTTTGTTTAAAAATGTAAAAACAGGAATATTTTAAAAATAAGCTATTCTTTCATTATTTTTTTCCCTTTACTATTACGATGAAAAACTTTGGGCGGTTTCTACTGCTTTTAATTCACGCGTTCATTTACACATTTTTTAGTAATTTCTATTTTGCCCTAGTAGAATAGAAATTACTGCCATTTGAGGGATATATTTGTTGCAAGCTTTGTGCGCAAGCGATCCAGAGAAAAAACGCACAGCTATAATATGAATAATTAATACTTTTCTTCGTTAAATAATTGTACATATCTGTATGCGTTTTAATTCAGGACCCAGTAATATTACAGAAATTTTTATTTCTGTAATATTACTGGAAATTAAGAAATTTTTATTTCTGTATCATTTGGTGTATCTTTTGAACAGCTTATGTTAAATATAGCATTTCTATATTCTGTATATTTAACTTCTCGTGACTAATTCTTAGTCTAGTTGAAATTGTTGAATGCCGTAATTGCTTAGCTTAAAATTGTTCCTGAAATGTATACATCAAGACCTGATTTCAGTTCCTTTTTAATCTCATGTTTTTTTATTTTTATATTTTTAAAACTTAAAATTATACTAGTAAACTTTATGAGGGTTTAGACTTTAATCAGATTGTAGACTGCATCTCTGTTCCTTAAATGTTACAAATTTCAGTGGAGTAAAGATGAGATACTTTAAACAACGTGTTGCTTAATAATTAATATAAATGCAAACAATAAAGTATTCAGAAATATTGTTTATAATTTTAAGCAATGTATCTAATTATTTATTTTTCATGAGCATTTGCTTTATTAAGTGTAACTGATTCTTTTATTATTTATCTTTGTTACGGAAGAATTGTTTATTTATATGAAAAGTGCATTTACTTTCTTCTGTAAAAACGTGGCATATACGTTGAAATAACATTTAAAAATGTATAAGCATCCTCAAACCGTTAAATAAAATTTCTATTGCGAGATTTCAAATATAAAAAGAACAAAATTTCGCCGCTTACCATTAATGTTTCATCATCATAGATGAGCGTAGAAAAAATACAGCGACTCGGTCATTCTCCTTTACATCCTACATGGAAATCTCTATTCTGTTTCAAGAGACGAAGGGGGGGGGAGATGAAATTATTCTCTGATCTAGCCTTTTCTCCATTGAAAGAATTAATATATTAACAGACACTATAGGACATGATTTTAAAAGTACTCATTTTTATCACATCTGTATCTCGAAATTAAATTGAGCAGTAATTCATCTCAAAATTACACCGACCAGCACTCGAGCGGAAAAGTCGCAGAACACTGGTAGTTCCATCCGGGGTTCAAATCCCGAGCTGTGGTTTTCCTCATGTGTAACTCCTACACGAGCATGTTTCCCTTAGAAAGTTCTCCACGAAGGCATCCCTCCCCTTAAGCATATAGCACTCAAGTGCTTTGTCATAGTTAAAAATATGTAGAGACAATAGGTTATAAGCAGGAGACATGAAAAATGAGCAATGTCCTCTCCAAGACTCGAACCATGGACCTCTCGAATACGCGCCGAGTGTGCTGAACACTACACTACGAAGGCACGCTAAGAGGTCGGGAGAAATACCTTATATACTCCCGGTTTTATAGGGGATTAGAAGGCCCAGTCGGCAAATCCTGATGGCGGATAATCATCATGCACCACCGTTTATAGTTCGGGGGCCACTGTAGAGACATTAGGTTATTTCGAAGCGCATGAAAAATGTGCAGTACCCTCGCCTTGACTCTCAAATACGCGCCGAGTGTGCTGACCACTTCACCACGAAGGCAAGCTAAAAAGGCGGGAGAATTACTTTAAAAATATCAAAATTAAAAATACCTGCTTCTCGTTGCAGTTCGAGAAGAATTTCATTTGAGTAATTATCATTACAACATTATAAGGTATTTCTCCCACTTCCCTAGCAAGCCTTCGTGGTTTAACGGTAGCACGCTGGGCCGGTATTCCAGAGGTCCGTGGTTCGATTCCCGGCGAAGACGGTTGCATATTTTTCATCTTTTCTGCTTCCAATTAACCCAATGACTCTACAACATAAGAGCTGATGTATAGATGTGTATTCCATTCTGCTGTACTTTGAAAATACACGTTTTTTTCCCCTTTAATGTTTCTGAGAAATATTTCGTAAATCCAAAAGGCGTACAGCAAAGAAATAATTGATGTATATATAAAAACAGCAGAAACGTCTGTAGGATTCCTACTTTGGAAAATAACTTATTAAACAACGCCAAATAAAAGACAAAAACCTAAAAGAATTGTAATATATAGGAGAAGTTAGAGTGGTGTGTTAAATGTGCCGCCAATATAAATGATAAACATATAATGCACACTTTGCCTTTTAGAATCAGGAAGATAGCGCGCGCCGTGAAGTGTAACAAGTAATGGCTGTGAACATGGCGCGAGAATGGAATGAAATGAATATCCAAACATTGGATAAAAGAGTCTCAAACTGCACTGAGATAAATAGGTGTTTTCGTTCCCTCCTTCCCCCGCAAAATTCGTGACAATATGATGAAAACTCCTTTTGAAAAAGCAGCTTTCCGTACCCCCTTCTGGAGCGAAGAACTGTAAAAGTCACTAAAACGTAAAGAAACTTTGATAATAAAAACTAAAGTTTTATACAATAAGAATCATTCTATTTGTGTTAAATATTGGAACTCTTTATTTCGAAAGTTAATCTCAGCACAAAAATGAAACAATTGAAAATAAAAAAAGAAGCAAATGTTCAGGATTTAAATTCATGAAAATAGAGTGCATGGGTGTTTATGGTTTTCCTACTTGTAAAATATAAATTTGAGCCGGTTCCTTTCAAATTTCCTCCACGAACGCAGCCCTCCTCTAAGCAGATAGCCTTTGAGTGCTGCGCCATAGTGAAATAACAAAACAAAACCTTGAAAAGGAAAAACTAATGTACACATGTAATGAAAATGTTTGGGTGTTTTATATTGTATATATTATAATAAATACAACAGCTACATTTCTACTTAAAATGTATGAATATTTAACTTTAAATTTCATTAAAAATTTAATAAAAAAATTTCAGATACTTCGGATTTACCAGTCGTTCCAAAAAGGGTTAAAGGGGTTTTTTTTTTTAAATTTTTATATTTATTTTTTATTTATTTATTTATTTTTTTATTTTTTTATGCTTTCGCTGAGCTCGCGATCTAAAGTCTACTGCAGCACTCGCTTCTGCAAACCCATTTTTTTTTGTCTTTTTAGCTTATTATTATGCACTTTTAAGCGTTTGCGTACCTTTTCCTATTTTTTTCAGTCTTTTCTCAGTTTATCATATCTTCCAAAATGTTTTTGTGTTTTTTATTATTAGCGTTTTTGTTATTGTTTTTGTGTTTTTTATTCTTCGCACTTGCGCCACATAAAATTCAATTCAACAGCAGTATTGCAAAATGAATTTAAAACGAGCATATCCTTAGAATTTCCGATACACAGTCTCGCGCGCTGGATATAAAAACGTTTTTTTTTTTTTTTTTTTTTCCTTCCCGTACAGTTTTGCCATTGCTCGCTTTGAAATCGTTGAGTTTGTTAATCAAAACTTCGTTAAAGTGTTACAAAGTACGAAATCGGTAATAAAACAAATTTCAAATTCCAAATTTGTGCTTCCAGATGCCCATATTCACTGGAAGATTATATGATTCAAAATTGGATGGCGCAGTGTTATCACAATACGAGAAACATACATACATTTAGGCAGATTCTTCACTATTTAATTTCTTTAAATATAATACAGGGCTCTTAATATTTAGTGGCAACAGTTTGAAACCTGAACCCACATTTATAGAGAACCAATGCAAAATGCCAAAAGGAAAATAATAGCCCTTCTGGGCAAACGCCCTTTGGGCTCAAAATATTTACCATTTTATGAAACATTGAATATTTTTAATTAGATAAATCATCAATTAAATCTCTTTTTATTACTTAAATTAATCCGATTCAAAAGTAAGAACAAATAGCCTGAAGAACTGCATCTATTCCTTTCAGACAGCTTTGTTTGTTAATCCCCAATTGACAGATTCAATTCGAAAGACAAATATTTTACATTTCGCCGAATGGCAACAGAATCTAATGAAAAGTGAAACGGCGCATTTATCCACATCTCGAGACTAATAGCCCTTTAGGCCTAATGACTTTAAGAGAATGCGTGATTTTCTCTGAGGGGAACAAAAGTTATTGATCTTGCTATATCGTTACTTTCGGAACGGAGATGTTACAAAAGTTGAATAGAAAACTAAAAATCTGAATTCTTACTTTCAGTACTGATTCTTTAGCTATCAGTGCAGTAAATATCAATTAAATGTGTAAGATAAAAATCGATATGTATTACAGAAATTTTGATTTTCAATTACTGTGCCATTATAAAAAGGAATTGGTTTTTCACCAATTCATTTTTCAATTCACCAATTCACTAAGCACCTGAAAAAAAAAAGCAAAGAAGTTATAAAATAATATTCTAGAAGCAATGTTTTTATTCATTTATATTATGCTAAATAATTGCGTTAAGAATCATTTTCTGTATTTATTAT